CTTCAGTAAGCTCAGTATTTGTCATTTTGCTATTATGTTAATTTTTAAAGCAGTGACCCTTTAGAAATACCAGAGTATCAGAATTTATTAAATAATCTATCTTTATATATTCAGTCTAAATTCAAACATGTTTCTAAGATGTCACGGTTATTTCTCATGATACACAGGGGTTAAAGTGATTTACCAAGATTTTTTGCATACTCTTTTCTAAATTTATTGCGTAGAAATGCGTTATATTTAGCCATACCAGCAAAACTGATTACACTTTCAGTTAGTTTAAGCTTGAAGTGCGTGGCAAACATTCATACCAAACAAAAAGCAGATCAACTGATATTGCATACTTTATCTAGAAAAGCATTTATGTTCAGTATTGCTAAATACAGCTAATATTATTTCATACATAGTGCAAAGTTAACATTTAGTTTAAGCCATTCAACACCATGCTTTAAGCAGTAATTTAAAATTTAAAACATTTTACCTTGTAATCTAACCTAACAGCAGGTTCTGCTTGGTGTCATTTAGTCTCCAGTTGCAAATGAAACAAAATCACAGTGATATCTTTAAAACAAACAGAGAAACAGTAGGGATTGTTGAAACATGTTAGACGATTCCTTAGTTAAGTCTGAAATAGCTTCTTTCCCTGGGGACAAAGTGCTGTTCTGTTTTGTGTGCAGAGAATCAGCTAATACTGTTACTGGGAGAACTAAAAAGCTCGCTTACAGAAAATGAAAAGCAGCACAATACGTTCGGTCCAAGGGATGACAAGGCACAGCTGGAAATTCTCTTTCAGTACTTAGTTACATAAGGAACAAGAAAATGGAGTGTTTTCAAAAGACGTGAAAAAATGTGTATTTTATTCAGTTCTGGTTTATGTATTTAGTTTCCAGGTGACATGATTTTAATGTAGATTTATTATTTTACAGAGATAATGCATTTTGGCAAGTGTAACATTAACATAAAAACATTTATTAAAATTAAACTTTTTTGTTCAAGTCACATTTTCTTCATCTGCTCCTGCCCTTATAGCCTATAATCTATAAGCAGCAAACCTTTTTGTTGAAGTTTTGGCATGGAAAATTTTTTTTTAGTCCATTTACAGCAATGATTTCACCGTAAGTTGTAGCTTATGCATGGAAAATAAAATGACTGAAGCATTTTCCCTTCATTTTTTGTAAGGCTAATTGCATCCTGAAACATGATCCTGAAGCACAGCTATGCAGAAGCTGCAGTGAAGTTAGTAATCCAAACATGAAAACTGAGGGGAGGAAGGGAGGCAATAATTGTACGTTACCACAAGTCCTTTGTGTGCCAGCAGAGCCTTTTCCTTCATCCCCAGATAGAGCTTGTGCGGAGTGTCAGTGTTTGATGAGACCGTGAGTCTGCTCAGCTTCAGAAATGACAAATTTACCTGGTAGATGGAGTTGTCTGAGTTCTTCTGACATTAAAAATTTGTTGTTTGCTTGAATTCATGCTCTGAGGAATGTTTAGACAAATAGTCGTGGAATGGTATAACCATTGAGTTAACCATAATTGTTAGCCCATATGTGGTCGAAAGATACAGGGAAAACACATTGTCTCTTAAAATAGTCATAAAGTTTCTACTGCGCTTTGCTTCGCAAAGTCAAAAGAAGAAATATTAAACTTTTGTAGTTTGTCTGGAGCTGTTTAAAAGGAATGGAGATAGTGATACTTAACGAATGGAGCTAACATCTGAAATGGGATAGCACGGTTCAGTACCTGTGCTAAAAGCATTGATTTGTAAAGGGCAAGTTGAACAATAGGACAACAGTTCTTCTAGCACAAGTGGGGAAAAGAATAGCAAATTGTGCATGTCAGGTAAAAGGCGTTATGTATTTAAATGATACTGTCTTTATTGGAGACAAAAGTGACAGAGTTCACTTCATTATATATTTAAATGTGGCTTCTTACACTTCTGATCGCTCTCTCACGATTATCTTCTGACAATGTTGAGGCACACATCTCCAGAAAGCCTGCCTGGCTGGGAGACAAGATTGCCTGCTAGTAGGCCTACAAGGTGAATCTGGCCAGCCTTTGCTCATGTGAAGCTCTGGTTTAATGCATCTGCTTTGGATGTGGTATTTCTGATCACTGAATTCCTATATCTTCTAAGCAGACTGAAGGATCTCTTAAGGTGTTATTGATCAGTATATAGGCTTCTCTAAAACAGATGCTATGGCATGAGCAGTGAAGCACAAAGTCTTGCTAATTTTAAGGATCCATTCATCTGTTACGTGTGTATTCCATGGTCTGGGTTTCGCACAGAAAGCAATTGCTGGTAAGCAAACACTTCCTCTGATAATGTTACTGGTTCTAATATGTGAGTAAAAGTCCCAGAGGCATTATAGTTCTGGTGGTATCCATGTTTAGCTTCCTTGTGGCCACCTTTGAACCACTCTTCTACCTTAATATGCACGCCAAAATGGAGTTTCTCCTATTATGTATCTGGTGCCATCTGGCATTTCTGTTACACACACTGAAGTTAAAATATCCAAACAAAAGCCTACTGCGCTAAACATAAATAATCTAGTTTGTTGTTCTCCTTCACCCCTCTGGTTACTTGGCATAAGAGTATGGCTTTGCAATCTTAGTAGTACCTGCCATTAGTATGAAACAGAATGCCTCTGAGGCCCTTGCTTAGCTTTCTCTCAACTTTTGTTAAGGAGCTCTGCAAAGACATAGCTCTCTTTTCATGAAAATGGCATTACACTTTCCTACAATGAACAATAACGTTTGAAAATTGTAGGAGCTGTTAAAAGAGAGTGTCCCATGGTTACCTGATATCTGGAGGGTTTGGAGTTGTTTTTAATTTGTAAAAAGTAGTGTCTGAAAATGGATATCATCTGCCTTCCAATAAGATTTAAATGTATGCAAGATTAATAATATTGTTTTAATATCGTTATTTACATTAAAATCTTCCATGCAAACTTGCATGTCATATAACTAACAAAAAAATACTGTATATTCAGCAAAAACCTTGGACTGGGATGGCCTTGCAAATGATTTCAGACATATGCAGTTCAGGTAATTTCTGTTTTAGTGAAAAACATTGCAGTATCCTCAGGGATCTAATATTTACTGTGTTTATGTGAATAATTCACTCTGAGAGCAGAGCAAGTTGCCAGCATCTGCTTCGTTTGTAAGCACTGGTATGCCTATCCATCCCATATGCAGGTTAGTCAGTTGAGTTGAGTTGTGCAATATGAATGTTATTGTCTATTAAGATGCCTTAATACGGAATGGTCTCCTCTGAGAAGAGACAGAGGGTAAACAGTAGTGACTAATAATTAAAATGACTTTATTAATTTCTATCTTACTGTAAACTGCCACCAGAGCACTGTTGCTTAGTGTCTTGAGCGAGAGCCATAGGATGTGTGAAATGAATGTGGAAGTCTGGAGCCTCTGGCACGGATTCTTTGTAAAATCTAGGCTGATCTCTTTTCCTTACAACTTGTTATTTGTAGAGGGACAAGGCTTTCCCTCTTACATTGCTGAAATTGTCCAGTGGAAATTATTCAAGGAAATCTTCAGTGAAAAAGAGGGCTTAGAATTGAGGTTGGCATCAGGCTTCTTCATAGTGGTTATGACAGATTTTTGTAACTTCTCTAGCTGTACCTATTAGATGACAACCAATAGTGGAAACAGGCTTTTAAGCAATTGATACAGTTGAAATAAGTTTGTTTTCTGTTTCACTCTCAAAAGACCTTCTTTTCAAACACTAATCTAAATCTCACTCCTGTGAACATAAAGGATCCCGTGAGTTAAGGCAGCAACACTCCTGGATCCCTATACTGCTGCAAAGCATTGTTTGAAATTTCAGGTATTTCTGGTAGTTGTAATTGGTAATTGTAATTTCTGCTTCAGTTTTCTGATCTGCTCCCACATTAGATAGAAATGAAACAAAGAATTAGAATCTTTTAAAAACTATACTAGGGAAGTGTGTAAGAGCAAGTATGCTTATTAAGCTAAAAAGGCGTACCTTATCTCCATATAGCAAAGTGGCTAGTTATGGCAATATGGAGCAACAGTGGGATATTTTCTTCTACTATCCCAACAGAACTTGTTGACCACAGTGGGTAGTGTAACTATAGCCTCTTGTACCAAAAAGTTTGGTTCCTAAAGTATCCATGTCCTTGGCACAGGATGAATTGAAGCACAAACTTTAGGTGATGTATGTATTCAACAGGTTCCCACAGAGATTTAGTTTTGGAACTACATATAACATCAATAACATTTTGCTCTCCTCTGCGTCTGTATGTTCACAGTCAGTTCCTCAGACAGTAATAATAGATAAAACTTACCTACTTATGATATCTACTCCTATACCATGAAGGAATACAAGAATATTTATGAATTAGAGAATAGTATTTTGTGATCTTATGGAGTTACTTCTAAAGTGGCAAAAGGAATCTTTTTCACCACTGCTTTTTCTTTATCCTGTCTGCATAGATTTCTACATTGCTTCTCCACAACATCATATTCTAATTTTTCTGAATTTCCTGAGGGCATCAGTAGCCTCTCTTCTTTTCAGCAAGGACAAGTATTAGTCAGCATATGATAGTACTACTGTTATTTTTTTTTTTAATCTATTTTGCTTCTTCCTGCAGGAATGAATGGTGAGAGGAAAAACTTATGTTCACTACTGTGGCTCTGTTCTAAATCTCAGAAGAGGGAGTAAAATTAGTGTGTAAGTTTAATATAAAAGAATTTGTGCTGTTGAAAATGGCTTATAGATTTTAAAATTCTGTTTGAAAGGCTACTGAAATACATGGAGTATGCTGAAACAGAGAAGGAACAACATCTGTGTCTTAATCATCTTGAAAATGCCTGAAGTGTAATGCCTTAGTCTTCAAAGAAAGCCAGCAGGCTGAAAGAATATAAGGACAATATGTTAAAAAAAAAAATTAAAACTTCTGATGCAGAGTTATGAAGTCAAGCATCTGGGGTTGGTCAGTTTAAGATTGAGAATTTGAGAGATGGTGTATCAGAATAGAAGGCAGAGTTGAAGTAACTTTATGATCATAGCTTAAGACAAATGAAACCTCAGTTCTGCATCATACCTTTTAAAAATGTGATGTTTTATCTGCATAATGGCCAAACAAAACACGTGAATAGAACAGGAATAGCCTTCATTAAGCTAATTTAAGATATATTGGTTTAGGTATAGCCTAGCTTATCAGAGGAGAGGAAAGAATGCATTTATTTTAGATGGCCACTGATAACTCACAGTATTGCTTAAATCACCTTCTTAAATTACTGTATGAGTGTACTGAGGTCATGTAGGTCATCTAGTCCAACCTGCTGCTCAAAGCAGGGTGAAGGTTGTACTCAGAACAGGTTTTTGTTCAGTTGATTTTGAAAGGCATCAAGGACAGAGTTTACACTTCTTGGCTGCCAGTTCCAGTGCCTGACTGCCATTGAGAAGAATTTTTTCTTTATCTCTCATCCTTCTGAGCATGCACATCCATAAAGAACTGTGCTTTGTATTCTCTTTGATACTGCAAAGCTACTCTTAGAATTCCCCTAAGCCAACTTTTCTCCAGACAGAACCAGTCTCTTATTTCTATTAATAGTTAGCAAACCCTAAGGAATTTGGAAGCACTTCAGAAGGGTATATAGCATGCTTGATTATAAAATGTGATTGAAGGTGACTTTCAAATAGGCTTTAAAAAAAAATAAAGTCAATGCTGCTTCAAATGGATGTATATAATTTTTTTCTTCTCTTATTCCATGTATTCTAAAAAAAATTGGAGAAAAGCCAGTGTGTTTTCATGCTGGCGTTGTTGGCTCTTTAGCTTTGAGATCTAAGTAGAACTTAAGAGTCAGGAGTATTTGTAGAGCTGACTCCTAGTGATAAGTTGCCAAGTTATGATGGTTCGGACAATGTATGCAGCAGCCATGCAGTACAAAAGTGGAGTAAAAGAGGGAAAACCAACGTTGATTAAAAAGATGAAAATTATGTAAGTGGACAGACAGCATCAGTCTCGTCTTTTTTTTGAAGCAAGTCATGACAGACTGTTCTGTAATTTATACAAAAAAGCCCAAAATGATAAGCCTGTAGTGTTATGGATTCTGAGTACTTGAGCTTTTGTGGAACTTGTGCATATGGAGTACAATTACAGATTTTTAATTTTGTTGACATTAATTCTATCCCTGCTGCACCCACTCCCACCCCCCTACCCCCCAAAAAAAGTTATCTGGATATCTTCCTATCCTACCCCAAAACATTAAAAATAGACATGTTTTTGTGACTTTAAAATAAAAAAGGAGACTCATGTTATTTCAGAATTATATGAGAGTATTTTAC